GCTGTACTTTATTGTACTGTAGTGTAATGGAATGCACCGTATTGTCATGCATTGTAATGTATTGTAGTGTGGTGTGTTGCAATGTACTGTAATGTCGTGCAAAGTAATGTGATGTAATGGTGTGCTAGCGTGACGTAATGCAATGGTTTGGTTTGGTGCGTACGCACGTGCGAGAGTGAGTTCACGGGAAGACGGGGGCAAACACGAAGCTTTGGTAAGTCCTTTCGCCATATGCTTGGCACTGTTCTCGCAAGCTTTGCAAGCAGGACCCAAACCGAGAGATCTAGCCTCGTTTGTTTGGGCCGCTTCCATCGGGTACTACTAAGGGAGTTGCCACCGGCTCGCTGGTGCCAGAAGAAGACAAAGAGCAACAGATTCGTCCCTGAGTCACCGGATTGGGGGCATGAAGTCAGGTCTTTTGCCTGCTCAGACTTTGCAGTCTTCTATGATGATTGTGTTTACTGGTGCGAGTTCCATGGCCTCCCGTCAATTACATCACCGGCATCACAACACCCCTCAAACCACTCATTTTTCACTACCAAGTGGCCCACCTCTTTTTTTCGCTCTCCCCCACCAGGCTCTGGGTTCACCTCTCCACCTCGCGACCCCCACACCCCTTTACTCACTTCGCCTTGCCTGTCGGCTGGCTTTCGTGACAAGTGTAAAATAGTATAAACAACTGCCAACAAACATGCTGTTATAAAAAGTGTGCAATCATAAACTTAGCTTACTTCCTTCTGAACAGTCTTCTGAACTATTGCAATACAGTAGCAAGCCGGACGTTCTCCTGTACAAACAAAAACCTCTTTCCAGCAAAGAATCAAACAATATTCAATTAACCAACTATTTTAACCAACTATTGTTTCTAAATTGCTCAGTTGGTCTTAATTAGGTTTGTCTTTCTTAGCCAACTTCGAACAACAATCAAGAGATCCAACTTAAATCTTTTGAAAAACATATTTTGGCAAAGGGTACCTCTTACGGGTGCCAATGACATACAATTATATAATATAAACTACTGTCAATCAAAACTTCATTTCATGTTCAACTGTCCCTTAGGTGGCAACAAACAACCGGACTTTCTCCTGCACCATAGTAATCTTCCTTCTGAACTTCTGAACTCTTGTAAAGAAAAACCAAACTTTCTCCTGTGTAATGATAAGCCTGTTTCAAGATTGAAATACCTATACTTGATGTTGATGTACTTTTAATTTCGATTGATTATAGATTATAAACACTAATCAAAAGCTTTCATGATCCGAGGGTCTGAGGTTTATTAGTGCGGTTAGTCTTTTTTGACGATACAATCTTTGGTCGCACTTTCTTCACGAGGGAGGAGGTTAATTAGGAGGTGAACATTACAGTACAGTACATTACATTTCATACTCATACACACAGACATACACACAAAGAAAGGGACATAAATTTAGTGCATTGGGTGCATCAAGAAGACTTGACTTGTGGACACTGGGCGCTGATAATTCGTCAATTAATGACATGCAGGGGTCTGCCGTGCAATCTATCTCTCACGAACCAGTGCCGAACAAGCTTCCCTTTTCTCGATCGCGTTTGACCCAGACAGGCCAAGCTCCTTGGATCTTTACCATGCACGCGTGACAGTGTAGGGACACCGTTCCCGGCTCTTCAACAAACGGGAAGTTCAAGCTGTCTGTCTTCGCAGTTTCAACCCCCAAACCCCACATCGCATAGGAATGAAGTCATTTCCAAGTGGCCCTCAAAGCAGGGATTACCTCATTCCACTCCAGGAAGCCGGAGAGATCGGCATCATATTGGAAGAAAGCACGTTCTAATGCCTCCCTCTCCTTCTGTGGGAGCCGCTCATACTTCCTTGGTGCAAACTGCTGGAGATCTATCAAGCAGCATGCAGCATGCACATGAAGCATGTCAAAAGCAGTCAAAACATGTCAACGATATCACGCTATTGTGGAAAAAGCGTCTTCTGGGCAATCGTTTCATTGCGCTGCTTGAGAACACTTTCACGGATGCTGTGTATACGTTTGTGCAGAACGGCTTTCATCCTCTTCTTCATCTCTTGCATCGTGAAAATGTCTACCTCGCAATTAAAGGGAAAATGAATGGCCCAAAGGGAGGGATCAGCACATGGGTTGGCATCAACGAGGTCCCATGTGAGGCCCATGGGTCCTCAAAGTTCCGAGGTCCTGGCAAGTTCCATGGATGCCCGTGCGTCGCTGTCATCTGGAGGCTCCACTCTGGAGATACCTCATGTGATCTCTCACGATAAATAGAACTCACCCCCCAAAAAAGCAAAACAACAACAACATGATATCTCTTAGGCAGACAATATTCAACATCTGTCCTGCTTTTGGCCCAGAAACTGGTGGATCCCTTTTTGAGGGATTTCGTGGTGGAAGCTTGCTCTGGTTTGTCCTCTGTGTCGACCAAAGCCATATCTCTAGAGCCTTCCTTTTTGATTTTCCGATCTTCAGCAAGACTGGTGCCTCGGTGCTTCGACTGTTGATGTGCCAGGATTCCCTGGACGGCTTTGCGGGAAAGCTGGCGTTTGTTGGGCCCCTTGGGTGCCCATTTCACCGGCTCTCCAGTGAAGCTCTGGAGCAATTGGCTCCAACATAGAGATTCCGTGGCCTTCAACCCCACCTTGCACTCTTCAAGCCATCGGTTGCTACTCCAAACACTTCGACTAGAGCCACGCAAAGTAGAGATTGAGTGGGTTGGAATTTCCAGTGAAGCTGCTTGAGCTGCCGCACCCTCCAAGCCACCCAACTCGGTCCGGGAAGGCCGATGTTCGGTTCGCCCGACAGGCCCGACAGGTGGCAAGGGAGCGGATGCGGAGGGAGCGGATGAGGGAGCACCATGTCGAGTGGGCTCACCCCGTTGGGGCTCAAGTGTGAGTCCTGGCAGAGCCGTTCCAGGCTGCACTCTGGAAGCCATGGACTCCCATGCTGATAGGAAGGGGGCTAGAACCGCTCACAGCTACACGAGTGAAAGCAAGTGCAAGCTATGCTCTTCAAAGAGAAGTTCCGTGTGCACATGTTCACGTCGTTATGAATGCAGTTCCCACTCCAAGGACCCACGCTCCCCCTTTGACTCTGCAGCACCTCAGCTACTGGCTTGAAGCATTCCAAACGCGTCCAATAGCTTTTGAAGTGTTGCGGTCTTGCGTGGGAACAAAAGCCACGCAATCTCTGCAGTGTGCCTGGCCATATGCGGCAAAGCGACGCTGTGGCGGGGAGGAAGGTTTCAGCTTTGGACTTGCTTTGGCATCCTTGGCTTTTGCCTTCGGAGCCTCGACGGAACTCCAAGGAGTCACGTCTGACTTACAGCACTAACATCAGTGCCTTCGGTTCAGGAAGCTCTTGAGGGGGCTCCTCTACCACGAGTTGCACACTTGCATCAGCTTATTTTTTTAAAACCGAAACGCTCCAAAGAACCTGTCCAACCGTGCTATATCACGAAATTGTGCAGCAGTGTCACCAGGAGTGTTTGGTATGCAGGCGCATCAGGTCCCTCCTCCTTGATGCTGGCTTCAAAAACGAAGGGCCCTCAAAACAAGCAAGCAGTATGCAACACTCGCTCTTGTTTTACTGAGGCCGTGTAGGTTCATGATAGGTGTGGCAAACTTATGACCATCCAATTTTTCTGTTCTCACAGTCTGGCCGCTCCGACACGCCTGAAGAAAGCCCAGCTGAGAAGGAGGGCAAAGTGCCTGCAAGGAAGCGGTCAAATGAGTCCTACGATGTCCCACCATAGGGAGCGCTGCGCAAACTGCCAAGAGAACAGCGACAGAACTTCCACTCTTGAGTGGACCCCTTTAGCAAGCAGCAGCTTGGTCATTGCCTCTTCTGTTCTGATACGACGATGTATGTGCCAGTATGTAACTTTTGTGACTGCGAAGAGCTGCGATGGGTGGGGGTCAGGCCCACACCACAAAGCCTTTGTGAATCTGCTAGTTCCCTCATCCGGGGTCTTCCGGGTTTTGCCGATCAAGGATTGATTTCTCACTTCGATTCTCGACTCATATCACCTTCGCTGTCTCCTCCCGATTCTTCTCGAACCCGCCCACCACCTGCAAAGAGTTGCACGACAAACCACAACAACAGCAAGCCAACATCACAAATAACCTGCCTTTGAAACGAGAGGAAACATCAAAAGGCTCAGGTGATCTGCAGCGTTCAATCACCTGGATCAACCATGCAATTCTAGATCTAAATCATTCTAAATTGAACAGAGTCAATCTTTAATTCCACATCGCCCACCTTAGCTGCCTGCTTTTTAGGTAACCTGAGCAGTGCAGTGCAGCTGCAGTTGACTTGAAGGAAGCCAGAAATACGGAAACGTGAGAAGTCAGGCGAGGGCTGCTGTGGTGGAGGCACCTGATTCATGCCTGGGAAAATGTCAGGATTACTATGGATTACCCGCCCTGCAGCAATCATGAAAGTGGAAACCCTCTTCGTAGAGGAAAATAGTCTTCCAAAGCATCCAAGGGCCTTTACTGCACTTGGTGATTCTGCTTGGCACACGTTCGAACAAAAGAAACCTTTCGCAGTGCGTAAAGTCGACCCCGCCTGGACCGCCCAGTTCAGAGTCCTCTGGCAAAAAGTCCAATGTGCCCCCACCTCAAATAGCAAGTATCTCCGGCGCACCACCAGGCTAAATCCAAACCAGTGTATGTGTGCGTGTGTGCGTGTGTGTGTGTGTGACTGCGTGTGTGCGTCTGCACCGTCCATGATCGTCCTGGATACCTGCCCCACCAGAACCATGCGTACCCATCCAGAACCTACCTAAATGTGCAAGATTATCCCCGGAACAACGGAACCGACCAAACAAATCAACCAGCCGTTCTTCAGTTGCGCAAACACTGTTCAAAGAAATCCTCTCAAACACATCTAACACGCAATTTATATACAATCATTAATTCCATTCACCCGTCTCCACATTATGCTTGCAATTCTGCCGACACATGCCGACACCCTTTCCTGAATCAAAACCCGACTCATCTGCGTGTTTGCGCCTGATCTCTTTCTAGCACGCCTTGGATACAATACAACGTGGCTGGACATTGCGTGCAGCGGCGCTGAAATCCTGTACAAGAAGCCGCTTTTGCAAGTTGAGGCTGTGAGATCGAGCATCCACCTTTGGAGTTGCAACCCGCTTTGAGGCATACGAATCCCAATTTGACAGCACATACTCAATGTGTGCAGGATACAATTTCAATGGAGGGGAGCGCAACTGTTTGGCTGCGGGCTTTGAGGAAAACATCGAGTGGGCAAGCCGCTCCACCTCTTCCCGTGAGCGTTTTGGAGCTCGTTCTTGGACCAGGGGGCCTTCGTGTCCTGAACGCTTGACACGCTTCCTTTGATATTTGTTTTGATCTGCTTGGCCTCGGATGCCTTCCGAAGCCATTCGCTTGTCAGGAGGCCTCTCGGCACAAACCAATGTAGTTAGTCTCAAAGATGTGACTCTCGCTTGGTCTTGGTGCTGGTCTCCTTTCTTTTGTTCCTTCGGACCATCTGCCTTCCATCTGAGCTCAGCCGCGGAGACACACTGCTTGGCAGGCGGCTCTTGAACGACTTGTGTCTCTGGGAAGTCTTCATGCTCTTTCTCGATGTCTTGCATATCATCCGCATTTTGCCTGAGCAAGGCTGGGGCTGGGGTTTGGACTGGTGGTACACATTCCGAAGTATTTGTCCCAAGGTTGGGGGAACGAATCGGTCGTACCTCCACTGATCGACGATGCAAGAGTTCTGCTGCACTCCCTTCCTTTGAAGCAAAAGAATCAGGTTGACAAACATGTGACTGAGGATCTTCTGACTGCTCTTTCTGTGCTCCCACTTGAGCTTCGCAGCCTAAGGCTGGCCTAGACTCCAGGCGAGCACGGAGAGCAGCTGCTTCATTTTGAGCAGTCTTCAAGGCCTCTTGAAGGGTTTCGATTTGTGCGGAGGTGCGGGTTGCGGTGCGAGCTGCCAAGCCTTTAGCCTCACTGAGTTGGATCTGAGCACTCTTGAGACTTTCACGTGCTTCACCCTCAGCTTCCTGCGTCTTTTGGAGCTCATAGAGTTGCCTCTCAGCTCGTAGAGCTTCACTTTGAAGGCGCGTCTCTAGATCTTCTTTTTCCATCCGCAGGGCTTGAAGCTGGGTGCGACACAGCTGCAACTCAAGCCGCAATTCCTCGTAGCCCTTCAAACTGTCTAAATGCATCCGATTTTGCTGTTGCAAATCCTGAAGAGCCAGCCTCTCGTGTTCACGCGTTGCTTTTAAGGACTTCACCTCCTGAAGAAGCGCTTCAACCTCCCTTTGTCTCTCCTTGGCAATTGCCTCGGCTTGCTGAGCCTCCAACTTCGCATCCTGGACAGCTTGTGACTGCTTCTGGATTTGAGCCTCGAAGTCCCAAAGCTGTCCAAGCAGCGCTTGTTTTTGAGCTACAGCAGCTGCGGCAGCCATGCTGTGTCTCTCGGCCTGAATCAGCGCAGAGGAGGCCAGCTCATGCCGCGATTCTGCTTCAGCTGCTGCTCGTTCTGCTGCTTGTTTCTCGGCAACACGCCACTTCACTTCCGCACGGAGGTCATCGTCCTTGGCCCTTGCAGCTGCCAATGCCCGATTTGCACTGGCACACTCATTTTCAGCAGCTGCACTCTCAGCAACGATGCGATCCCTTAAAGCCTCCATCTGCCTGTCAGCTGAAATCCTACATCTACCTAGAAAGTTTGGGCTTGTCTGCTGCCAAAAGGAGTGTCTTAACACACTCCACGGCACTGCATTTGCTGGGCCCACTAATCAGGACTTATGGAACCATGAAGAAGCTGATCAGGCTGCGGGGAAGCTCAGTTCAAGTCAAAGTGATTTACATGTCTAGGCCTTGTTCCAACAGCTCTTGTTTCCATCATGTTCCTCATCCTTCCCAGCTGTGAGGGTCCCTGCCATCAGCCACCTGGCATCAACTAGCGTGTGTCTTTCTCTCACTTCTGTTGCTTGGATGTGGCACCCTTGCCACTGCTCGTCGCTTTTCCTCGTAACGCTCCATCCGCTGGCGCTCAGCCTTGCAGCCCGCAAGGGTCTATGGAACTTCTACAGGCAAAACAGCAACTGAATAATCAAACACACACAGAGAGAGAGAGAGAGAGATAGAGAGAGAGGACAAAGAGAAAGGGGGAGAGGGAGGAAGAGGAGGAAGGAGAAAGCCAAAGAGAAAAAGAGCGCGGTAAGGTATACGATTGACTTGCATTGAACAAGCCCCGCCTGCTTTTGCTTCTCCCATTCCTCTACTGCCCTCTTTTTTGCCAATTCTCTGTCATGTCGGGCTGCCTCCACCGGTAAAGTGCGAAGGTGTCAATGAGTTTGCCCTGCACCATCTGCACCGCATGTTTTACTGCTTTGACCAACTGCAAGTGCCGGACTCAACAGCAGCCAGCCGACCGGAAATCTGCTCCGCTCTGTGCAATTGGAAACTCTTGATTATTTAGGGGACTTGCTGAGCCGCTTAGGTGCAATGGGTCTCAAATTGTGGAAATCCTCCCTTGGAGCTGTGGCGCCGGGGGCTCCAAACAACGAGATGTTCTGCCTCCTCCTTGAGCTTGGCTTCTTCAGCTTCTCTTCGTTGCATCCGTTCCTCAGGGGCTAGAGCATCGCAAGCGACAACGTGTTCAAGCCTATCAGGGCTCCATGTGATTCACTATCACGAGCTCCCTGAGCCTTACCGATCTATGATCTAAGTCATTGGCATACAAAGGGATCTCATTGCTCGGATCATGATGCTGCCTAATCGACAAGACTTGGAAAGTGTAAGGAACCCTTGATGAGTTCTTTTCCAGGCCGCCTCAGAAGGTCCGAGATGACCGAGCAAACCTGCACTTTCACAACCAAGGCACCTCTACCTGAAAGCCTAAAACCCTCAGAGCCTGGAAGACACACTCTTGTCCAGCTGCACGCTCAACCTCACTACTAAACACTTTTTACCAAACTGGCTGGATGCACCTCGATGAATCGCCTCCTCTGCAACCCTCTGGGTGAGGTCCTGCCAAGGATCCTTGGTCAGGTTGCTCACCTGGCTGCAGGCCACTGTCTTTCACCTCTAGCTGCTTTAGCCCTCCACTGGACAGAAACTTCTTCATGTCTTCGTGTTCAAGCCTTGACTAGCAATCTGGGCCTCAGCGATCAAGAAGCCATGTGCGGGAATAAGATTCTAGCGCTGGAATCCATCAAGAATCTAGCGTCTCCATCGGATACAAGCGCCCATAGCTGACCTCAACTGCCAGAACGCAGGAAGGGATGCTATCTGAGGTTTCAATCTTGTCCTGCATGCTCCCGAAGAAGAAGAAGGAGGAGGAGGAGAAGAAGAATTAAAAAAGAAAAAGAAAAACAACAACCTGTCTGTCTATATGACCTGGATAGCAATTCAGAAAGGCTTTTTAGGCTTCAGCTTTTCTTCCTCTGCCCTTGCTTGATTTAAGGCTGCCGAAGCTATGTTGAACATCAGAATCGGAATCAAACAGTACAACCACAACATATCCCCTACGCCCCCACATCTACAAAGTGGCAAATTCCTGGCCTTCAGAGGAATAACCATCGGATGAGGCAGCAGAAATCGCCACAAAGAGACAATTTTGTGTGTGTTCCTTTTTCTTTTCCAGTTCCTGGCAAAGGTGCAGGATGCTGCTGGGAAAAAATGCATGTCTGGATGCAACGATTCCAAAAATCACCAAACCAGTTTTTGCTCTTGCACTGTGTTGGGTCCAGAAATTGCTAGTGCTCTGTAGTGGGCCAATTCTAATTCTTTTTGTTACTAGTAGTAAGGCACTTGTTTCTACTAGCTTCTTGTTACTACTAGTAAGGCACCTTACTACTAGCGTGGCACTTGTTTCTACCAGTAATTAAGTCTGAAAGGGTGATGATGAAGCATGATGCACCATCAAGCTAAGCCGTGCTTGTGCCATTTTACTTTGCTGAGCTTCTGCAGGGGCTGACACTCACGCTTACTTCCAACAAAATTGGCGCATGTTTGTGCAGTGTTCAGTTCCACAAACAGAGAGACACATTCAATCCAACAAGCCTCCCGGAGCGAAGGATCATATCGAGAGATCGTTACTGTGCACAAATGCCCCGGTTCCCTGTATGGTGTGTCCTATTGTGTCCTTGTTTCTTGGAGACCCGTTTCCAGTGTCATCAACAAACTGGTTCTTGTATGCTTTAGTTATTAGTCCCGGGTCTGCGGGCTGTCATTTTCCTCCTTGTCTAGCAGAACGGAGACACTTGATAGTTTTTGCTCTGGAAGCTGGTTGCATTCTATGCCATTCATTGTGCGCAGCAAAGGCAAAGGGGATTCTCGGCGACAAGGCGTGCATGCAACATGTGCTAAGCAGTTACAGTTACGGGGTCTTACAGGCGTGTGAGGGTTTGGCTTGAAGCATCTGGGTTGGGCTCCCGCACTTCAAGCTGGGCAGTTGGACCATCAGCACTCCCCGCAGAAAGCCGTACCTCAGAATTCAAGTCTTTCCAAAACATAGGTTCAAGCTTTGCACTACTACAAATGGGGTGCAAGCTACTGTAGAATGGCACAGAGACAACATGTGAAGAAAGACCTTACGCAAAGACATGCTCTGCTTGCCAAGTCTATGAGGTGGCTGCCCGATAGCGTCTCACAGGTGTAGAAGGCCGCTGACCCTGAGCGGCACAAGGCCCGGGACAAATGACGTTCTAGTTCTAGTTCTATACCTATCATTAAGTCTTAATACAGTAATTATGTGCGTAAAACTGGTTGCTTCCACATCCTTCTGCCTTGTCTCGTTCATTCCTGCGCATGCCCACGCCACTTTTTCTGTTGCCCACTTCGGGCAGCTGAAATGTTGCTGTGCGACCTGCTCAGCACAGTAACAAGTATCTGCGACTGAGCGCCATTTCAAACAGAAAACTCTCGTTGAAGAACGCCAGTCCCTTGAGGAAAGACGAATGATTGAGGTTGGCTTCAGCGAATTGTGTTGTGATCCGGGCTTCAAGTGCTCACCATAGAGCAAATCTCAGTACAGTCCCGAACTGTGTCGGTCGCTGTCATGGCATCAAATCATCACGCCCTTCATGGATCTTCATGGATGTCGGGTAGTGGTTCGAGTTTAGAAGTTTCATGAAGCTGATCCACTTGCTGAAACCATCACTTGAAAAAGTGCGCTTTTAGGCGATCTCTATAACTCTGTCTTGGCAGACTCCATATCAGCGATGGCGAGCAGCAGGAGATACATCACCCTTCCCTTCCTCAAGTCATGGACGTTGAGCTTTGCGTGCATTTCATTTTCGCGAGCACTACAACCACCGATAGAATCATAATGCCAACCTCGACTTTGCAAACAGGCTTCCGCTATGCTATTCAAACTTCGCGATGTCTCCAACCGCTTGAAGGCTTCGAACACCTAAACCAATTGATTTTGCATCATCGAGTCGAGAATCAATTATCGAAAAAAATGCGAAGCAAAAACACCCGTGGTAAGGAGGCAACATCGAACAGAAAATCAAAACAAACTCAGGGCAGCTTTCTTATGCCCCCTTTGTCCACATCACTCCAGGCACCTTCCTGCTGGATGATCGACGAAGCCACTTCATGCGAATCTTCGCCTCCTGTCACAACAATCACTTCGCAGTCCCTCGCCCCACTGACCCACCGATGCCTCGTTGGGAAAAATCTGCAGCAGGAACCTGCCAGATGATGCCAGATGTAAGTCATCAGCAGGCAGCACAAACGACATGAACCGCCACCGTACCCAGATTTGATGAGTTGAGAATAGTTGAGACAGCTTCCCTGGTGACAGCTCGCGGGGATCTTAGCACACAAAAATGAAACATTCTTCTGTTCAAGTGGCTCCGAGTAGTCGACGTGGCCACTCTGATCCGTGTCAAACCTCAGATTCCAAGGCACCTCTTTGCCGAAAAGAACATGTCATCTGAGTTGTGTTCTCTTGCGGCCGAACTTTTTGCAGGAGAGGATCATCGAGAAAAGTGTCATCATTGTGTCCTAGGAGCTGGATGGAACCTAATTACACCAGCATAGACCCAGATAGCTAGGCAGAATCCCACGACCTGTTGACATGCCACTGGCTGGAACAAGAGTGTACGCAGCCTGCCCAGCCAGCTTACCTCCACAGCGCGCACAATCAGCTGACACCAGCACCCGACGCCGCCCGTCTCAAACGCGCGCCCAGCCAGCTCATTCTTATTTGCAGCCAGAACCCCATAGCTATCCCTATTTGGGGAATAACAACGTATGAGCAAAGCCCGTAAGTGTCATTGGCCCACGGCCCAGCATTATCCATCGCCACTATTGACCTTGTAGCATGCTTGAAGCAACGATCTGCAGAACGATCAGGCCGTATGATCTTGCGCGTGCAAGTTTATGCGCACAAAAGCGTGCGCGCAAACGGCAATGCCCGTAGGCTTCACTCGCCCAAGGCCAAGCAGTATCCAGCACGACTTTTGTGTGTGTAGCATGCTGAAGCAATGGTCGGTTGAGAGCCTGACGTTGCGCATAGAACATTATACGTACAAAAGTATGCGCGCAAACAGTGCGGCCCTTGACACAGCTGTCGGCCAAAACAGGACCTGAAGAGTGTAAATACCCCACAGCGCTGATAGACAAAGAACGCTCAAGCGACAACACCGTATGATGTTGCGTGCATAAGTTCATGCGGCCCATGACTGAAGCGGCGCTTGGTCGCCCTTCACTGCTGCAAGCGTCGGTTTGTTACCCTTCACTGTCAGAAGCAACTGTAGTTATCACTTCACTGTCAGAAGCGGGCAGCACCCAGCACCGGTATACCCAGCACCCAGCACACGGTCTCCACCACACGCACAGCCAGCTCACACCACCCAGCACCAGCACCACAGCCCGGCACCGCCCTGTTTCCACCACGCGCACAGCCAGCTCACAGCACCCAGCACCAGCACCACAGCCAGCACCAGCACCCGGCACCGGCACCAGCACCCTGTCTCGAAAGCGAAAAAAATAGCTGTCGAATATGGGGAAAAAATCCTCTTTACCAGGCGCACAGCCAGCACCCAGCGCCGGCACCCGGCACCCAGCACCCGGCACCAGCGCCAGCAACGTGTCGCCACCACGCGCACAGCCAGCTCGCAGCACCAGCACCAGCACCCGGCACCCAGCACCGGCACCCGGCACCAGCAACCTATCCCCACCACGCGCACAGCCAGCTCACAGCACCAGCACCGGCACCCAGCACCGGCTCCCAGCACCAGCACCGGCACCAGCAACCTGTCTCCACCGCGTGCACAGCCAGCTCACCAGCACCGGCGCCCGGCACCCAGCACCCAGCACCAGCAACCTGTCTCTAAAGCGCGCACGGGCAACTCATTGTTATTTGAAGTAAGAACTCCATAGCTGTCGCTATCTGGGGAAACATGAACCTATTGCAGTTTGATTGGAGCTGCACGGTTCCAAAGCAGGTCCAAAGTCGCGGGGTGTTAACTTGATGGTGCACAGGCCACAGTTCCTCATGACCTTAGGCCCTGGATGGTCTTCACAAAAGAAACTGCATTCCCCTTTTAAGGCTTCTCCGCTTACGCAGCTCACAATTTTTTCGTTTGAGGATTGAGAAGTCAATGCTGAGTTCGTAGTTGCTTGTCAATGAGAATTCCCTGCAGAATAGAGTTTGTTTGCTCAAAGAGAATCAAGATCATCGGAGAGCAACATAAACTGGGTCGGGAGGTAGTCTAGTATTGCATTATTGCGGTGTCTGGCGGGAGGTCCCACAGATGATATCTGATATATATATATATATGCATATTTATACGTTGATTACTATAATGTATTTCTGCAGTCAGTCTCATGAACTGCATCGGACATGCAAAGACGTGAAGGAGAAGCAGTGGGTCCAGGGTACATATATAATATATCTATATCTATATAACTATATAAACTAACACATAAATAGATATATAAACAAACACACACACACATATATATATATACACAGTCACATATCAAAGCACAGCCTAACAAGATCAAGCAAATCAGCAACAAAGAAGAAGACAGTGTACAACTCTACAACAGAAATTAAATTTGAGAAACACATGCATCACTGGCAAACCCTTTGTGACATGTGATGGCCAAGTTGCTGCCCGAACCCCAATTCGCATTTCACTAAACAACCTTGGCCCACACAGGCCAGGAAGCAAAGGTGGAACTGCCAAGAAGGATCCAAACATGGACTTTGAAGCAACTAGAAGCAGGGGCATCGCTACTAGTATATAACAAGGGCATCGCTATTAGAAGCAAGAAGCGGGCCAAAAGTAAAACAAAGGCTAGGCCCGGCACTCCAAGAATTCTGAAAAGTTCAATTGTCCATCGCCATCTTCGTCAACGTATTCAAACAACTGCCGCACCTGAGATGCCATAACATAACTCCAGCGTTTGATCGTTAACAGTCAAGCGATGCAACATTCTGAGGTTTCAAAGTCTCAGTCTTAGATCAAACCGCCTGTTGACCTTTGGGGACGGCTGGAGATGCTCCTTGCGTTTGAAATACTTGCGCCGAACTTAGGTGTGTAATGCAAAAAAACTAGGGAACTACGACTTCAAAGACAGTGGTAGCCTGCATTGCGCAAACGGGAACAGCACAGCGGAGGCCCTTTCAGTCTGCACCCCTCCAAGCAACATGGACATTGACATTAAACAGCAAGTCTATTTCCACATCCTCCATCTGACTTCAATGGGGATTGCCTAGCACGCATCAGGCCCCCATATCCTGCAGAAGTGGTGCTACACACAAGCCATACGGGTCTGTACAAACAGGAATGGGGCTCTGACCTTCCAGGCCTGTTATCCTGTGGCCATGTTGAATTGCAAAAACATACGGACGGACATCTGTGCTTGGCTCCGGCTGCCAGGGAATCTGGATACAATTCCCGAATAGCCATACAATATCATACAATATATATTATGTCAGAATGGCTCTGCATACTGGAGGATTTGTTTGGAAGTTGCGGCACGTTACACACCATACCCCTGGTAATTCTTAGGTCATCAGCAAGTTGACAATGTGTTTCATGCAGTCCAGGTGGCATCTGCAGCAGCATAGCCCCACTTGAGCAAAGCCTTTTGAATTCGCGATATGCTCAACACCTGGTCGCGCCCCTGCCAGCAAAGGTTGAACTCATTTCCGATGATGCCAACCTGGGTCGAGGAAGGCACCTTTCCAGAGAGCCCTTGGCATGTCGGTCCTTGCTGCATGCGGCTCAGTTGCTGGCATCGCAAGAAATAGCACGCTAGCAATGGTGAGCAGGGACCTCATAAACATAAATATCGACGGAGAATTCTAATCACACGCACAGCAGGTGGTGGTCCATCTCCAAGGCTGCCACATGATGACGTAGCCACCAGCTGATTTGGGCACATAATCACCGTATCCGACAGTTGTCATGGTGACCAGACAAAGCCACAATGAGTGCTGAATGCCTCGTTTTCAATTCACACTCAGGGTCGCATGATCGCTACTACAGGTTGCCTTAAGGACTTGCCAGTACTCAACCTTTTCGGTTGTTCACTTTTTGCAACTCAATTGAAAGCAAGCGGCTCGGAATGTTGCTCCTGTAGGCAAGTCTCAAAAGCATGAACATGTCCAAGTGGTGACTTCACCTTTTAACTCCAGCCTTTCCTGGGG